TGGGATGCAACATAATGGCAAACTTGCTCATAGATTGATTGACACTATCGTTTACCAGTTTCAGGATGTCATCGATCTTCGACTCGATACCTTCATCCTCCATACGGGAGCTTATCTTCACCCACTTCATTTGCAATCAAGTAGGTGGGCGTCTCGCTATTACCTCTAGGACAGAACTTGAGTTCAGATAGCTCGTGTATTTCATCGTAATCTACGTATTCTGAGAATAAATGATATAACAATAAATCACGACAATACTTTTGATAGTTTTCTGTCTTCGACTGAACAGCGAACGATGAGACGATGACTGCTGTATTGATGACTCCGGCGAAAAAGTTGGAGGAGTTGGGTTTGAGCAAACAACCATAACTTGATCGTTCAATCTTCTGTTACATTGAGGAGCTTTTTATATCGTTTTGCACCTGTTGGTTGTCTGATAGCATTGGCTTTATTAGAGACATTTCTGCTTAACGCATTTACATCTATTAAATTGTACACTATTAACCATATGTGACACTTACTCTCTAGGGGCTTCTGATTCCCTTCCGACTTTTGTTAATTACAAAAGTATACACGGCCAACACACATTTATAATTCACATGTGGATCATCCTTGTTTTATTTAGATTCTCTCAAAATACCTCTGGCGTTTGAACTGATAACAGACACACACAACAGTTACAAAGCTTTTTCAACTTCCACACAGGGTCTTAATTCTTCAGGTTTAGGATGTTCTTCGAAAACCTTAGTAATATCATCTCTGATCGTACTCTCCTCACCACATTGACTCGTAGATTGTTGCATGCCGTAAACATGGACGTAGAAGATATTTTTTTCTCCAGACCTCTATTTATTAAGTAAACAGTTGAGCCAGAAACAATACCGCAACTAACAAATGAAATGGAAACAACAGCTTCAGCCATTCAGGCGTGTTCATATGCAAAATTTATAAAACTACTACACAGGACGAATTCATAAACAGCTGAAAAACTACTAAAGCATTGCAACCATGCGTGAAAGCAATGTATGAAACTATTAGAATGAAATGAATAAACTGACCGGGTGATAAGGACTTTCGAAACCGACTAAACAAATAATTTTAGCAACAACAGAAAGAAAAATGAGGTGAAACGCAACATTTGTGAACAGTGTGCATCAAGATAAGTTGTGAATAACTGCAGGATAAAATTTAAAGCCAATGTGCAAGCGAATGGTTAAGAAATGGCAATCCAACGCGGCCAGATAACTTGGACGAAAGTGACTTTCGAGTGTTTAGCTCCTCCAATGATTTTGAGTGTGCCGGATAATTTCAGTCATGAAATCTCTTCTCCTGGCAGTACTTGAATATGCACTTGTGCAGCATATAAATGCACCAATATGATACCATCCTGAACATCATACGTCCGCTCTAGACTTGGTGCTAACACACGAGAAGGAGGATGTCGGTGACATTAGGTGCCTGGCGCCGCTAGGTAGCAGTGACCACATAGTTATCATTTTTATGTCTAGCATTCAGCATCATACATACATCAACAGCTGCTCGCCCAAAAGTTTGGAAAGCGAATACACCTGCAATCCGAAATGGAGCAACTATAGCGGACTGGTCTGTTAATACACACTAGAGTGTAGAGGAGGCTTGGATGGGATTTGGGAACACTAGAGTCCGTCACTGCACCCTTTGTACCTTGGTCTACACCTCAAAATCTATCTTATAAACCACCTTGGATTACCAATGAAATAAGGACGTTATTAAGTACTTATGGGACAGGTTTGCTGTGGCCGGGAGGGATGAGTTTCGGATGGAATACCACAAAGTTCGCAACCTTTGCAAGTACAAGATTGATAAAAGCCGTATAAAGTATGAGAGACAATTAGTACTGAATTGTGGTCATTATGCAAAAAGACTGCACTCGTATATCAAATGCGGGACCAAAACTAGCAGTGGTATACCGTCCTCATTAGCAACATAGGAGAGGCTCCGGAGTCAGAAGAAACAAAAATGAGAAACTCTCTGAATTCTATTGTGATGTTTTCTGGACTAATCGTACCACTCAGGGGTGTAGCGAGGTAACTGATGTAGCCCCTAAAATGCATCCAATTGTGGTAGATGATGCAGTGGTCCTGAAACTACTGTATACGCTGAAGCCAGGTAAATCACCCGGACCAGACAGACTTCATTCTAGATTGCTAATCTCCTTGGCGGATATAATATACATCCCACTTACGGAAATTTTTCAGATGTCTCTAGCCCAGGCTAGGCTACCCATAGGCTGGAAAGATGCTTTTATAAGCCCCATCTTCAAAGATGGGAACAGGCAGTTAGTATCTAGTGCGTCGGTGGCATGGTGGTTAGGTCTCTTGACGACCATGCACATGGTCTGAGGTTCGATCCCCTGCCGACGCACACCTGATATCTATGGTCGGCCTGAAAAATTTGGGCTACCGATATCCATTCTGAAAATCCCATGCTTGTACCAAGAATACAGTGTGGAATCAAGCTGTAATAAAAAAAAATTAAAAAAATAACTACCGGCCTTTAAGTCTGACCTGAATTATAGCAAAGGTGTTAGAAAAACTCATAACGGATCAGCTCTTAGCTCATACGGAAAAACATGGCTTACTGGCAGTGGAACAGCATGCATTCCGACCAGCACGATCCTGCTTGACAACCTCACTGTTAGCTAGGGACAAAAAACATCTGCAATTGATAGTGTTCTCTGAGCTCCTTGGTTTAATTGCGGAGCTTTCATCGTCTTTCTGGACGACAAGAAACATCTACTGGATGTTGTCTTTATCGATCTTGGTAAAGCATTCGTTAAGGTATCCCATTTAGGTCTTCTTAGTAAACTTAAACATTTTGGATTAGACCAGCGCTTATGTGAGTGGTTTAGTGACTACCTCATGGATAGGAGGCAGAAGGTAAGGGTTAATGGTGTACTGTAAGGGTGGAAAGCAGTACTTAGTGGAGTACCTCAGGGAACTGTACTTGGCACCCTGCTATTCCTATTACACGTAAATGAAGTGCCAAAAATTCTTACCTCATCTTCCTTACTATTTGCGGACGATATTAAGATATGGAAAACCGTGAACAATAACGATGGTGGGTTGGCACCACTAAGTGATCTAGACAAATTAGCTGAATGTGCTAACCTCTGGAGTTTGGAAATTAATTACAAGGAAATCGCGATGATGTACCTTGGTCAGAAGTCTTACACGTCGTACCCCATGCGGGACACAAAACTACCAGATGATAGGGGACAAAAAAACTTGGGAATTATTGTAAGCCATGACTTGAAAACAACAGGAAATCGTAATCGAGCTGCAGCTAAGGCTTTTCGAATGCTTTAGGCACTTCGAAGGGGGGATGTTCCAAGTAATCTATGCAACATATGTCAAGTCTCATCTAGAGTACTGCATACAAGCGGCGAGTCCATGCTTCAAAAAGAAGGTACATGCCCTGTAAAGAGTACAGAAGATGGGAACAAAATTAGTTATTGGTATCTCACACCTTCCTTATGACATGAGGATGGAGCATTTAAATCTCTTCCCATTATCCTACCAGAAGAGGAGAGGCGATTTAATTTTAGCTTACCGTATATTTTTTTAATTTCTTAATTTTTATTTTGATTACAGCTTAATTCCACGCCGTATTTTTGGTACAAGTATGGAATTTTCAGCGTGGATACCGGTAGCCCAAAATTCGTAGGCCAACCATAGATATCAGGTGTGCGTCGGCGTGGGCTCGAACCCCGGACCATGTGCATGGTCGGCGAGAGTCCTAACCACTGAGCCACCGACGCCATATTCAAAGGTGTTGTAGGAATTAACTTTTCGAACCTTTTCTCTCCCTTTAGGATACATTTACGAGGACACCACAAGAAACTTCTCAAACCGACGTCTATAAAATACATTTGGAGTTTAGATTCTCTCACAGAGTGGTCAACGACTGGAGCTCCTTACCTGAAACAGTAGTAACAGCTCCATCGGTTAACGCTTTTGAAGAGTAACTGGATCTCTGCAGAGATATATATCGCAAGGATTAAAATAGGCAACGAGAGCCTCGTATCCTTATAATCTGAATCCGAAGCATTGGGCATTTAAACATCTTACTAAACGCGCAATACTCAAAGTTCAAGTGTTACTGGATTTTCAGGTAGTTATAATATTTTTAGGATATGTTGCGTTTGGGATGCATTACTGAGTAGATATAGATCATATAAACTAAATGTGTTTTGAAAAAATGGAACGATCTATGTGAAATTGGTTGAAGTTGTTATTCCATGTATGAAGAAATAATTCAAAACTCGCTATATAGCGGCTAGTTGCACTTAATGCTACTAGTCTCATATTGATTTTCTGTTTTTGTTCCCTTTGACGTATGTTGAATGCTGTAATCTTTATATTGGTGACATGAATTCATTTTTACTTATGGATTATAAGTGCTTTCATTTAGTTTCGTCTCTTAACACTTGTTTGTTATGCCGTCATGTGTTTCTGTCTGTCATTTACGACTGGTGTCTGTGCTCTTGCCTCATTCTGTATACACTGAGGAAATAATTGTTCACTGGTAATCATATAAATGACTGTCAAACGGCCTTGTCTCTCTTGTGCTACTGGCTGTGAATATATCTTCACTGCTTGCGTTGATCTCGGTGGCAGCCGATTCTGTCTACCAACTTGTTAGCAGTCGAACCTTCGATTTAGATATTGTGGTTTATATTGTAGGTTTCTTGCACCTGCCATGCAGTAAACTTTGCATAGCAAAAATAAATAAAAATAAATAGCATCTCGTGGAAGTAATTTCTTGACTTCATTTTTTCAATTCAGTAAACCTTTTTCCGGTAGTCTAGGCCTATTGTGCTTAATCAATAAACAAGTTGGTCGGTATATTGCTTTACCTTTTCAGTGGACTGACGGTGGTTGACTAAATCTGTTTAATTCATTTTTAAATATAACACAGGTTAAATGAAAAAAATCAATCTGTAGCTGTTTCAGAGTGGTATGAGCTGTCATATTTCAACGGATAGTGCCAGTAGCTTTACGTGGGATGAATATCTGCTAAAAACAAATGGTCGGCCAGCGAAACCAGAATGTTTCAAACAGGTGAGCCACAGTGTAGTGATTTTTCAAAAATGCTGTCTGTATCCTCTTTGAAACTTCTACTCATTCCTTCTGACGATAGTCTTCATGCTCCTGATTACCCATTCTTAATGAGTGTCAGTTAAAATATTTTCCAGTTATCTGCAGTAGTAACGTCTGCTTATTTTCTGAAACAGCGAATTCGCTAAAATTGTCTATTCATTTCAGTTTCGGGAATATATATGTTTGCTATCCCTTCCCCTTTAAGTGTTCAGCAGTTGGAAACTATCAATCATACATCCGACCGCACTCAGAATTCTATCAGTCATCCTGCCAAAAAGCTGTGTAGTTTAGAAAGATATAAGAACATTTGCTCGAGTTATGTTAGGCCTTATAAAGAAAAGAGCCAAGATTCATAACCTTGAATTCCTGATGGATTATGGAAACTGACATACATGTACTCAAGGTGAGTGTCTGCACAAGTGTTGACAGAAGCCTGTTCCCTTGAGATTTCACATATCTTTTGCTGGTGACATAACAAATCCGGAACTGAGGTGACGAAACATAACTCGATAAACTTTAGTGACCCAATATTTAAATTAAGGCACATTGTGGTAGTCTTCCAGCTTCGTAATAGCGTTACGCACTTGTCTGGGAAGGAATGACTGAATAGCTTGTCAACTTAGAACTTCGAATGTAAGCACAACATTACAAGTTGTGACACTAAAGAGAAGGAATATAATGGGACTAAAATCGACACGATGTGCGAAAGAGGACGACTAAATAAATACCAGTTTTAGAATATGAAAGATGGTATCCCTGCCATTGTAAACGATTTTATGTCATGTTACCTATAGTCTGCAACTATTTCTTCTTGCTGTCTTGCGAACTCCAACCAGGTAGTCTGCGCTACCTTGCGCAAACCCAACCAACATACACGACCCTTAATTGTGTCCCACCGCAATCCTATATAGGTTGGCCTTTATTTCTTCATACATTCCACCTTCAGTATCCCTGCTGTAGCTCTAACTTAGAATGTAGCTAACTTCCACGCCGTAGACATCTTCCTACGGATAGGCGTATGCTAAGCCTGCTTTTGATATAAGGCAGATTAGACTTTAAACGAGATCTCTTATTCTCGCTAAGTCTTCGTCAACATTTAAACCTTTAGGTTTGATACAAGTAAGTAAAATCAACATACATTCAACCTTTTTCAATCATTCATTTTAAAGTCGGATTCGGCGCAAAACAGTTCTGTGGCTAATCACTTGCCGAACTTACTGAGATTTTCTTTTAGGCTGTTCAGGAGACTGAACTTTGTCCACATATTCACCCGACAGGGCATTACCATGTACAGACTATTCAGTAAAACTTCCATACCGACAAGTCAATCACTCACATTCACTAATATATATATATATATATATATATATATATATATATATATATATATATATATATATCGTAAAGTTAAATGGAAAAAGTGATGGTGGGCAGTCCTAATGAAAATCATTGGCTGTCACATCTTCAGAGGGAAGCTTTTACGACTGTGTGAGTTTGAATAATGTGCCTCAATTAGTATAATGTACTTTCGACCTCCATACATCCGTACATCATCCCTACATTGATGAAGCTTATTGCTACCTTTCAGTTGAGGAATACGGTATGTATCAGTAAAAAGTTTGAGCATTGTGGATGAGATCAAGTAAAGTATAATTATATTTCAATAGTTTACACACAATGATAAATTTTGTTTTGTTATTAGTAATTTTGCTCGAAATATTACCAATAACATCGTATGCAAACTATTGAAATATAATTATACTTTATTTAATACGGTATGTGCTAAATGTCTGTCTGTCTGTTTTCGACATAGAACTTTGCACAAATGTGCGGAAGTTCAAGTCGCCACATTCCGTGTAGCACGCGAAGCAAGAGAAGAAAGTACAAGAAAAGCATAATAGAAACAGTGAGCAGAGGTGTGAGACAAAGGAGTAATAAAGAAATACAAAACAGTTTCATTGAAGATCATAAGTCACAGGGAGTGGATGCATCTGCGCCACTGAGAACGATTTTGAGCCATGTCACCAATTGTTTCCAACCATAGATTTTTACCGTCCCGAGGACCCCAGCCTGGAAGTCTACACCTTCCTACGTGGCTTAGACCAACTGTTGTGGATTTCATTGACTGATGCCAAGTTTTTGTTTGACCGCCGCTAGCTTTTTTCCAGCCTGACCCTATATCCGCTAACATTGCTCGTCGAGGGAGGCGATGGCTTGGCATACGTAACACATGTCCTAACCATCTCAGTCTTTGTAGCTTCACGACTTCGTCGATTGATTTCCCCTGTTTACCTAGAACTCTACGCCTAACCTCCATGTTGCTCACCTTATTATGCCACTTTACACGGGAAATAGAACGCAGGCACCTATGATCAAAGACAGCTAGTCTTTTCATGTCTTCCACTCTCAGTGGCCAGGTCTCACAACCATAAAGGAGGACGGAGCGGACTGATGAGCAGTACACCCGCCCTTTGGTCGATAGTCGAACATCTCGTCTACGCCAGAGTCGGCGTAAACTAACAAATGCGAAACGAGCCCCTTGTATTCGTGCTGAGATTTCGTCAGAGATCAGCCCGTTGGGGCTGATGGTACTTCCCAAATAAGTGAAGCGGTCAACGTGCTCTACCACTTCACTTCCTATTTTTAAACTAGGCGTCGATGTAGTCCAGTCCTGTAACATCATCTTGCATTTGGCGGGAGCGAATCGCATGCCAAACATTCGTAGATTGCGGCTCAAGGTGTTTAGAAGACTCTGCATTTCGTCAGCGTCTTCGCCTAGAAGGACTATATCGTCTGCATATTCCAAGTCAACGAGATTATTCCCGGTAGCAAGTCAATCCCTGAGTCGCTGAAGTCACCTAGGGTTAAGTCCATTAACACATCTATGATGAAGTTGAATAGAAAAGGAGATAATGGGCATCCTTGACGGACACCACTGGTCGTCATCAGTTCAGATGACAGCTCGCCGTAAGCCCTCACCTGGCTGTATGAGTACGAGTAGAGTGCCTTAATCAGTGCAATATATTTTCTTGGAATTCCCTTTACAGCCAAGCATCTCCAGAGAACTTCCCGATCGACAGAGTCGAATGCTGCCTTTAGGTCAAGAAATATAATGACTGTTGGACGCCGGTAGGAATGCCTATGTTCTAGAATCTGTCGGAGGGTGAAGATATGATCAATACACCCTCTTCCTGGTCTAAAGCCTGCCTGGCTCTCTCGTGTTTGTGCTTCCCGAGCACCACTCAGTCTACGCATGATTATTGAGCCTAAGACTTTAGATACTATATTAGTCAAGCTAATCCCTCTGTGATTATCACAGGAAGACTTGTCTCCCTTCTTGTATATGGGGATAATCAGTGACTTACACCAACCCGATGGGACTTCTTCTGATTCCCAGACGCTGCCTAGTACCTCAGTTAATCCGGACAGTAAGCTGTCTCCACCGTACTTAAATACCTCTGGAGTCATTCCATCAGGTCCCGCTGCTTTGCCTAGTTTCAGATTGGTGACAGCTTTAGTAACCTCAGTTAGTGACGGAGGACCTGTGTTTATATCCCATTCAGGGAGGTGTTGGATGCTCGGAAGGTTGAGCGTGGCTGTGGGCAAATTAAACTGCTCCTCATAATGCTCTTTCCAACGATCCAGTCGTCTATCCTGGGAGCTAATTATAGTGCCATTTTTTTCCGAGATTGTCTCACTGATGATTTGTCTTCTCCCACCCGTTTCCCTGATGAGTCCAAAGAGTTGCCTGGTGTTGCCTATCCTCGAAGCTTTCTCCATCTCTTTGGCTTTTGTCGCCCACCACTGTTCACGGTCCTTGCGGAGACTTTTCGTAAGTTTCCTCTTGTGCAGCTTTCGCTCCTCATTGAATTCGGAGCTCGCCGGAATAAGTCTTCTAGCATCTATCAGTTCGGATGAGGCGGTGGAGATCCAGTGGTTTTTACTCACCTTTGGGTTTACCTTATTCACAGCTTTTACAGCTGTATCTATGGCTGCCTGGATATTTTTCCAAGCTTCTTCAGGGTGAGCACAGCTGTCGAACACAGATATGTGTTTAGCTAGTTCTTCCTCAAATACGGATTTAGTTTCCTGATCGAGCTGGGGACGTGATGGTTTTACCGCCAGCTGTTTCCTACGTCCGTTCAGTCGTAAGCACACCCGAGCGCGGACCAGTGCATGGTCGGTATCTACGCACGTGTTCCAGAAGGAGCGACAATCTCCTACCGACCCACGCCAACGATAGCTTATTGCTATGTGGTCTATTTGTGTCCAGCGTTGGTTTGATGAAGGGGGTCTCCAAGTCAAACAGTGTCTCTCCTTGTGTTTGAAGTTAGTGCTTACAAGAAACAAATGATTATCAGAGCAGAACTGTAGGAGACGGTCACCGTTGTCGGTTCGCTGGCACGGAGCTCCATAGGTGCCACCGACATCCTTCTCAGATTGACACAATTTCCCTACTTGAGCGTTAAAGTCACCAGCTAGAACGACTATGTCTGAGCGTTTAGCCTTTCGCACCAAACTAGACAGCTTTTGGTAGAACTCATCCTTCGTTTCATCTGAACTGCAGTCAGTGGGGGCGTAGGCGGAGATTACGAAAAGGCATCGGCGAGTAGTGCAGTCCTTCCTCCTTCTTACTGATCCGTTCAGGCGGACAGCACACATTCGGCTATCTACCGGGATCCAGTCAAGCAATGTCTTTTCTGCCCTAGTACTCAAAGCTATCCCTACGCCAGCTAATCCTCGTGAACTAGCTGTGGCATCTCCTGACACCCTCAAGGTGAATTTTGCAGATTCAACCTGTTGGCCAGGTGGGGTTAGGTGAATAACCACACTTGGGTCTTGTATGCGTGTTTCTGAAACACAGCATACATCAATGGCTCGTGATGCCAGGGTCTTGGCTAGTGATGCTTGTTGTCCTATTTGGCAAAGTGTCCTAACATTAAGAGCTCCTATATGAAATTGGTGGCGCGGCTTTAAGAGGCTGTCGGTGGTGGTTTTTTGGCTTCCATCGTTTTTAGTGGACGCAGAGTGGAGAGGAAGTGGAGAGCTATCAAGTCGAGGAGTTGCATCAGTGGAAGGAAGGCAAGATGATAGAGATGAAGATGAAGACAAAGATGAGTGAGTAATAGAGAGGTTTCGTGTGCATTTCGGATTGTGAGGGCGATTGTTACTTCCCGGCTGCCCACACCGTGGAAGTTGGTTGCGTGACCGCAGAGCCCAGGGGACAACTGCTTGAGGCCGGTCACACGCGGCCTGTTTTTGTTCGTTCTTTTTTGTTTGGTGTGTCTCAGTAGCAGATTTATCACTCCCGCCCTGTGACACGGCAGCAGGAAGCGCGGTCGTTGTTAATCCGGGCCACGGCCGATCCGGCATGAAATTTTGTAATTTTGTATTGGACATGATGTTGGATTGGGTAGCTGCTTTTTGTTTAACCGCTATCCAAACAACCTGCCTGGCATGGTAGAACCTCAAGAGACATAAGTCTCAGCCAGTATAGCTTGATTAGGTCATTGCGGTGTTCAAGCCCGACCACCACGTCAAGGTAGCAGCTTTCGGTCGGGATGTGCTAAATATAGGTATGTATCTTTAAGCTCCAGAGCTTGTTGAAAGGTGGAAGTGTAATCGATGTACCTATCCGGGCCTAAAGATTGCATGGTTTGCTTTTGTTTGTTTTTCTGGAGCCTCACTAAGTCTTCGTAGTACCGTGGGCAGTAAATATGTTAATGTCTGTCTGAACTTAACGAACTGTCATGTTCCGTATGCTTAAAGAAGAAACATGTGTGGCTTAAAATAAGGCTTTGTAAAGACGTTGTAATATGAGTATTTCTCAATCCGAAGAATGTCATAAATCTTTTGTATGTCACTTTGTTTTCGTCCATCAAAATTTATCAATTCGGGTGCTTATGTTAGTTTTCCTCGGCTATATAAGTTGTGATTGGTGCTTGTACAGTACCACATTGCGAAACATGTAAGCACAGTTTGTTTTATAGCAACAACCGCCATACAATTCAGTTTATATACGAGTATGGAAAGGTGTGCGAACTGTATACTGTCTCAGTTATCTTCTAATAACCATATAATCTACAGTGAGCATTTCCAAATAAGTTGTTCCAAAGGATAGGAATTTCCCTTCAGTAACCCTTTGACATGTTTATTTGTATGTTCTGCACCAATAAGTCCCAGAGCCAGCGTCTTCCCACTATGCATATAGAATAAGAATTGTTATGAGAGGCTTATTTACATAGATACATTTGTTTGCTAAGCTAGGTATGTGGTCAGTTACTTCTAATGCTACTTGGAGATCACTCGAGAATCCTTTCTAATGATACAATGAATTAATCCTGTCTATACTGAGGAAATCAGTTGTATACTCACACCATTATACTTATTGCAACCATTTCTCTATCCCCTTATATTGCTACTTATGTATTCAGGCGAGAAATAAATCCTACTGCTTAACAAGGTAAATAAGCCATATGTAAGGAAAAGTGGTTTCACTAGAGTGCGATATTTTATCCCGATGGCGCTAAAGGACATCATTTTAATCCAAGGGGTCCGTGGTTCTGCGTTGGGCATGTTTATGTCGATGGTGCTTAACATATGCACTTTAACCAAAGTTGGGATCAAAAGGGTATTACAGATATACAGATTTTATTCTCAAAGAATTTCAGAAGTACGAGTTGTGGCAAAATTCTTCTATTTCTCAAGAAAGTTTAATGAATATTACTGAATATTCACAGAAAATGGTCAAGTATATTATTAGACTACTTAAGTCATCCAGTTAAAAGCTTGTTTGATACTACAGCGATTCCAGTCACGTTTACTGTCTGTTAATTAATGTAGATGCTATTCAACTTTTTAGTTGATGCCGATGTTCGCACGACAGTTTAGTCACGTATCGGACAAAACTCTAGATAGCTTCAATAGATTGTCACTATTTGTAAATATCAGGCATAATTCTACTCTAGCTGGAATTAAGGAACAAGTTGTTACACAATAATAATAATCAAAAACTCAGCTACTTCCGTTAATACTGTCCAGTCAAACGACGAAAGAGGATACTTTAAGAAAGTTGTCAAAATGATGTTAACTCAACTCTATATGAAGCGTTGGTTTAATGCTTGTTAATAATTTGATAGAGTTTACTATCAATAGACATAAATGCAATTATTATTATTATATCCTTTAGTTCCTAGAGGAACACAGGGCTTCAGCTGCGCACTTCCATTGCCTTCTGTTTTCTGCCAACTTTTTCACCCCGCTCCAAGTCTGTCCACATGCTTTCATCTCCTCCTCACATGACCTCACCCCACTCTCACAGTGACGACCAACTCGCCGCTTCCCTTTCGGGTTCCATTCGAGGGCTTGTCTAGTGATGCCACTTGATGGTTTCCTCAGAGTATGGCCAATCCAATCCACCCCTATTTCTTCCTGCCTATTTGTTGCACAATCGGTTCCTGGTTGGTTCGCTTTCAGAGATCCCTATAGCTGATCCTTTCTGGCCATCTGGTCTTGAGTATTGAGCGAAGACAACTGTTAATGAAGGTCTGAAGTTTGTTTGAGGTGGTCTTTATGACTCGCCAAGTCTCTGATCCGTATAGTAGCACTGACTTTACATTGGAGTTGAAGAATCCGGATCTTATTTTTGATGCTGAATGCTGTTGACTTCCACACAGACTTGAGAGTTATGAAAGCTTGTCTTGCTTTCCCAATCCTTGCTTTGATATTCTCGTCAATTCCGCCTCTAGTTGAAACGATGCTTCCTAATTAGGTAGGTAGGTAAAGGAGGTTTTCTCTTTCACATTTCTCCCATTTATGCTGGCTGCTGTCCGTTGTTGTTGGCCAGGAATCTTCATCACCTCTGTTTTATCTATGTTCACCTGAAGTCCTATCTTTGATGCTTCTTCTGCCAACTTGTTGCTTTTCACTTGCATATCTTCTAGTTTGTGGGAAATCAGACATATGTCAACGGGGAAGTCCAGATCCTCCAAGTTTTTTGTGTGAGTCCATTTTAGGCCTGTTTCCTCGCTACCCACTGTCTGTCGCATTATCCAATCTACTGCTATCAGGAAGATCATTGGTGATAGTAGGCAGTCTTGTCGCACTCCCGTCCTCACTTCGAAGGCTTCCGTAAGTTTCCCGTTGTGTATTACTTGGCATGCAGCATTGTCGTATAACTGTTGGATGAAATGTATAATTGTCGATGGCACCCCGTAGTAGCGAAGTAGTTGCCAAATCACCTCTCGATCGGCGCTGCATAAATGCAATGTTCCTCATAAAAATTATGAAAACTAAAATCTCACAAAAACTGTCCGTCAACTGTTTACGTTTTTTTAGAGATATGTGTCATAAAGAAGCCACAGCAGAGTAAAAGACATCTGAGTAGGATGGAAGACGATTGGTTTCTCAGAAAAGGCTGTCAGAAAACACTTTTATGAACGTAAAAGCTCCAAAGTTACCTAAGCTGTCTAGAATCTAGACGTAGTAGGATGGTATGGTTTGATTACGGAGTTGATTGAGGATAGTAGTAATTAGTTATTTTCCAGAATAAGTACGATATTAGTTATTGTATGCGAATTGTGGGATCATTTCAACAAACTAATGTAAATCTTCTCTTATAAGAAAGGGTGGAAATTTTCCCATGATAGTTCTAAAAGATATGGTTGACTAATATAATGACTGAGATTATGGGGTGAGTTAATTGCTATTTTTAGATAAAGTGGCGCTTGGGAAACAAACGGAAGAGAACCAGTTTCCTGTTGATATGCTACTTTTTCGAGGGTGAGGTTGACTGTAAACGTTGTGACCATCAGTTTAATTATGTGGAAAATGCTTTTCACACCAACCAAGTGTAAGATGATATTACAAGACTGGTGTGTACTGACTTTTAGTCCATGGCTAGTGAGTTAAGCAGTTAAATTATTTAACCACTTGTTCGTTTAGTTCCATAGTTCTTAACGCACCAGTTGCTGATAAAACTTCTTATTGAATGCAGAAAGGGCTTTCAGCTTTTGCTTGCGTCATCTCTGGTTGTTCCTCAAAAGGCTTGCGTACTGTGCGGTGGCTCATTTCGTTCTTTATGACTGTTAAGCATGTTTTCCTAAGTCAGCCTTGAAAACTCTAGGTGCTTTTAATCATATGTAGCATAGCTTGGCAAACAGCTGTGTCGATATGTGAGTTTGTGATACTTTATCAATTAAGGTGAGCTCAACATTTCTGGTTTGGTGTGAAGTTTCACAAGTTATGTTGTAATCAAAGTACTTTAAGTTTATTTATCACTTTCATGAATTTTTCCCCTGTAAATGACATGCTTTTACAGTCGATTATTCCACCACCAAACAAGTTCGAAGTTAATACAATACTGGAAGCTGAGGACCATCGTAGTGCAGCTCTAATTATGAGCCCTTTGGCGTGTTCACCTGGCGTAACTAAAGGGCGGCACACTAAATTCAATGGTTCACCATTGCTTCTAGGAACTCCTTCCAGAAGATCCAGTTTGGATTCTCATTCTAATGCGTCTTTTCGACGCTTCAAAGCTGCATCATTTAGTCTGGCTCGTGTGGTCGAAACCTGTGGTCCACGTTTACGAATACGTTTGGTTGGAACAGATGATCGCAATGATTATTGGTTCTTGGTTGACTCTGATCAAATTAGACCTTACCCATCTGGAAACCCATTACAACCGCCATTTGGATATATGCATAATCACCTGGTTTGGAATCGAACACTTAAGAAGGCAACTGAAGGAACACGTTTTGCTGACCCCTCTTGGTTTATTAGCGTAAGTCACTGTTATTCATAATTTATTTACTGTTTTCACGTAAATTGCGATCCTTAATATAATTACTTTTTTATTACAGCAACCTCCCGATCCGGAAGACAACTATTTTCAAGTGAATGACAAACTAGAAGCAGTAGATCGCAGAAATACACAACTCATCTGCCCTGCCTCTGTTGGAGCTGTGCATGGACACCACGTATTGATAAATTTTGATGGATGGTCTGGAGCGTTTGATTACTGGGCCCGCTTTGATAGTCGAGAGTTGTTTCCTGTAGGTTGGTGTAAATCAGCAAACTATCCACTTCAACCACCCGGTCCGAATGTTGTACGATCTCCTAATAACCATTCAACTCCCAATCTTTTTTATGCACCAAATTTTGGTTCCCTAACTATTAATGATTCATCTAAATGTGCATATGATATGCATACTCGCACTTGTTACCGTGGCAGTAAAAAAGGTAAAAAGTCTCTTCCCCACAAACGACCAGGATTTTCAAATAAAGATAAATCTCATGCTGGATTAATCAGAAGTGGCTTGCATAAACAAATAGAAAATACAACTCCTTATACCCATCGTTACAGTTTATCAAAGAAATCAAGTGTAAATAACCAAAATTCATTTCCTTTGAGTTCATCAAAAGCGAATTCTCACGACATATCCAGTCTCATGGATGATGAAAACAAACTTGCTAATGTTTCTGTAGAACTTAATGCGACATCAATTGATTCTTCCATTCATTCTTTGTCTTCACCACCAGTCATTCCCCCTGTTCTTGAAGATGCGAATGACTCCCTAAGCTTATTTTATTCATCATCACCTCCTGAACACCCTCCATGTATTGAGTTTTCTGGATCATTGAACGATTCTGCGGCTGGCCGTCATAATTGTGTTGCTAATCCTTCCGACTGTGTGGTCCGACTTCAGGCTAGACCTTCCACTTTATCCAGCATATCAGATTCACAGGATCTAGTACTTAAATCATGGAAGGTGGTTACAGAAACAAGACAAAGAAATAAGCGACTAAAATTAAAGCGTTGCAAGCAGACTTCTTCAAAAGGATACGATGAATTAAAACAGAAATTAAAATTGATTAAGTGAGTTCTAAGCACAAATTTTTATCGAATATGGGAAGTTGGTTTCCTCTTACAGTCGTCATTTTAGCCGACAATAATTTCGAACGTTAATTCCCCGTTTTTCTTCTGTCGTTACAACAAGTAACAAATACTTTTTATCTGTATCTATTACTACATGAGCAGACAATCTCTTAAAACCATGTCTTCATGGAGCAGCATGTGATGCAATAACTTTACTGTTCCTAATTACAGATAACGGGATTAAGGAGTCCAACCCGTGTTTGTTGAAGTAATCATCTGCAGTCATAAATCCTATTGATTGGAATAATACATCCAAGCTAATCTCAGGCTGTGATGGTGCTTCTTTGTTATAGTTATTCCTGTTAACTGTAAAGTCATGATGCATAAGACCAACTGAGGATTTTTTATGAATCGGAAATCCCTATAGTGAGTTACAGATAAGTAACAACGAAGAAAATTTCTTTCCGAAAGAAAGAACGATTTTGAATAATATCACCAAGAGTATCAGGACACTGGTTTTTGGTGCCTTTAGGACCGCAGCCAGGCAGTCTTCACGGATTAGTTTCAACATCCTTTGTCTCAGCTAAGGTTACTCGACGAGATAGGTGTTAGCTCGACATAAGCAACACGTTCCCTAGCCATCTTAATCAATGCAGCTTCACAAACTCATTGATGATTTTCCATTTTACCTAACGTTGCACCCTACCTCAATACAACACAGCAAGTTATGCAGCGATCCAGAAGATAGAACGCTAACAGAGGAGATGAAGTAGGCTAGTCTCAAGTCTTCCCATCCTCAACAGCCATGTTTCACAGTCATAAAGAAGGACGGAGCAAACTGCCCAGCATTACACGCCATTTAATCGATAACTAGATATCTCGTATACGCCACAGATGACGTAAATTGGCAAACGTCACATGAGCATTTTGTATCTGTGCCTAGAATTTGTCAGCAATTAGCTTATTAGTAGCGATGAAAATTCTTAAGTAAAGTGGTCAATATCCCCAACCGCCCCGCTGCCTATCTTCAAACCAGGGGTTAATGTAAATCAGTGCTACAGCAGGGGGGAATTACCTGCCAAAATTACTAAAATTTCTGCTCAAGTTGCTAGGGGACCGCACTTTGTCAGCATCTTCATGTAGGAAAATATCATCCATTTATTCTGATTTGATAAGTTTTATCTCCGGTACTAGCCAATACCTAAGTCTCTAAAGTCTATTGACGTCATTTCCACCAATAAATCTATAAGATGAAGGAAGATGGGGACAAAAGGCATCCCTTTCGGACACCAATAGTTGGCATCATTCCAGATGACAACATTGTAAACACTACGCGAGTTCGATAGCTTATACGTGATCTACAGAAGTGCTCCGTTAATTTGTTGGTGAAGATCCCCAATTTAAGCAGTGATTCCTTTTCTTTGAAGTTAGTGTTGGTGGTACTGCAGAAGAAGATCGTTGTTATCATTGAGTTTAACTGTTATGCTTCTGTGGCTAGCCTAGCCTCCATACGTCAGCATTGAAGTCACCTGTTAAAATTCTACAGCTGAGTGTTTCGCTTTCAGTAGTCAAGATAGCTTTTGACAGAAGTCATCATTTACTTTGTCTGAACTGCAGTCGTTCGTGTCATAAGTGACGATTATAAGAGGACATAGACTAGTTTTTTAATCTTTCACTCTTCGAATGGGACCCAGTCAGCTAGGGGTTTTTACGCCTTAGTTCGCAATGCGTATTCCTATACATAAAAGTCCTTTCAAATTAGTCAGAAAAATTTCCTGACACTTTAATGTGTTTTGAAAATTTACGCTGATGGTCTGTTGTGGTTACATTAATAACCACCCTTAAACTTAAGATACTAGAGTTCTGGTTATTGAGTCCTGTCGGATTTGGCATAATGTGTGGACGTCAGGAACATTACTTCCAACCAGTGTAACTCGTTCAGTTGTTGCATATCATTTGGGATGTATAATAAGTTCTGACACTATCTAATGTAGTTCATACTCTAGTGCATCGTTTTGATCAGTGAATATATGACATTATTACTTTAACCTAATATTCGTCCTGTTCGTAAAGTATGCTATTGGAAATTTTATAGAATTCTTCAGGCAAAATGAAACGCAATAGTAATTCTGTAAAGTCAACTTTGTTTTCACACCCGTCTTTTTACGTAAAGTATTTTCCTGCAAAAGTTATTTGAAGTTTTTAATATTTGAAATCGTGAACTCATAATATTCCTCACAAAACCTTTGCATTTTTTGACATTTTAGGGGTAAAACGACGGATCCCGTCACTCGTAACTATGATTTTGTTGATCCTCTTTCCTCTAACTTGAATAATCTTCCTGATTTGCATCAGAATTATCGGAATCTGCGTGTTTGCAATAATTATAATTCCTGTAACTACCAAAACACCAGTGATTCTGTTACTTATCAAGATGACCCGAAGTCAACGTGTACTACACTGTACGAACAGGACAGGAAAAATGTATTCAAAAGCGACGTCAGCAAACAAAGAACCCCTCTTCTGGATTCAGATATAATCCTCCGTACAGATGTTTCTCGTGAAAGTATACATCCAAGTGCATGCTATTTCGATGAAATTAATTCACCTCTTCATGACAATCTGTCGGTAGAAACATCCGATACACCGTCATGGTTTTCAGGAAAGGTGGAGTGTGGTTCTAGTAAATCTTCGTATCCTGTATACACGCACCAAAATACTGACAGCTTAGATAACCAAAGTTGTACTACACATCTTCCCTCGTCAACTGTATCTCCGTCATCACTAGGTGAGTATATATTAACTCACGATAATCACCGCATCTGAATCTCGTAATACCATCTAATTTTAAACGTTGACTGAAAAATACCGTTTTCCAAAGGTAGAATCAGAACTAAAAGTGATGCAAGAAAAATACGAACTGGCTGGATCTTCATAGTTCGTAGTCACTATTTGAGAAATTCAAAACAGACAAAACAGGATAGATGAAGTATTGGTGAAGTACAGTAAAAAAAGGTAGTAGGATATTCTCAATGACAAATGATGTATGTATCACTATAATCAGGGTAAGGTATGCGGCGCATATCGGCTGTTGGTTCACAGACTAACTTTGATTATTGTGAGAGCGAGAAAAAGCACTGGTGCTTATAGTGAGCCGAGTTGATTGACAAAATGGAATGTTGAAATTGATGAAACTCGTTGAGTCACACGTTTTGCAAGTTGAATGGTTTGCAATGCCTCTTATGTATGCATAAGATAGGTGCATGCATCCAGCTAGTTGTGTGAATGCTGTAGGATGTGACAGATGTAATCTCTAATTCTATAGGAAAACCAAGGGCGTTGTATGCGGAGTCGGACCACCTCTAGCACCGTAGTGACATAACATTAACTTGATTGCTAAATGTCGGATTTGCGGTGTCTCGATGTGCACATTAGGGTCTCGTGCCCGTATACCTGACCTTTTCGAACTGAGGATGTGTCCAGTGGCTGCGTTTTTGATCATCCATGCCCCGCTGAATTGTTTTCATACGGTGGTATTATTTAAGTAATTCTGTTTGGACAATTTTAAAGCTAAGGTCTATTCTTTTATTGAGTATTTTACCCCCTTTTTTCCTACTTCGTTTCACTGCCTTTTGTCTATGATCGTGACACGTAAACACTTTGACCTATATTAAAAAATTTTTGATTCTTTATGCTCTGTTACATTTTGTATATAAGATATGTATGATAAGTACGTGTGTGATCACAGTATTCGGAATGGGTTGACAAATATGGTGCACGTGTCGGACAGATTACGTCTTCTTATTCTAGCTGTAAATATCTACATATTGTCTTTACCTTCCAATGCTCTGACATTAATTCTAATCTGTCAGTTAGACCGGCGCCAATGTGTTTATTATATAACGAATTCGTGGCCATTTACTCACAAATTAGAATTTATTTTATTTCTGTTTAATCCGACAGGAAGAATACAATATAGTGTCTGAAATGGTTTCTTTTGGATCTCACGGCAAGGTTATTCTGCCATTGTCCATGTTTGCCATATGCAAAGTATCGATATCTCCCAGTTAAATATACAAGGAATATTCCTGGTTTACTTAATAAAAATACAAGCCAACAAGACGGTGCTAGAGTTATGGACTGAACTATTGTTTTCTGCCCTCAGAGTTCGAGATTATCTCAACGACTAGCAAGCACCATCTCATACTCAAGCGTCGAGACATAATAGCGTTTGTACTAGTCGACCGTGTTGATAATTTTAAAAGAAAAAAATCCCCATTTAGACATTTAGAAAACAGAAAGATTGAGCGAAAAAATATTGACTTTTCAATTAGATCCTCATCTCTGGCTCTACTCTACTTGATTGGTAAACTGTTGTATTGTAATTAAAATGCTATATATATATATATATATATATATATATATATATATATATATATATATATATATATTAGAGTAGAGCCAGAGATGAGGATCTAATTGAAAAGTCAATATTTCTTCGCTCAATCTTTCTGTTTCCTAAATTTTAAAAGACGATTCCAGTGGAGCTGAGTTCACCAGGTGCCTGAGAACTGAGCTAGTAGTAGTTGATTTGTATCTGTTTTGTTGATAATTTTTAACATAGACGTTTCTTTGGACAGAGAAAACCGTGGGCTCTGAATTTAACTGTCTTCTACAATGGTTTTGACGAATCTATCAGGCACTTCCTTTATACTGTCATTATCTATCTTATCAGCTGTAAAAACAGACTGAAATATAGACTTTATCAAGCCTTTCTTGTGTAGTATTGGGTGGAAACTGTAGAAATCTGAATTCAGCTATGTCCATGTAATCTTTCTATCGATTGATTGTTTCATGCAAACCAATTTCGTTTCGACCCAAAAGTATGTACCAAAAGGATGCTAGTTGTAGTTTTCTTCCTTTCATTTAAGACTAACATGATTTTGTACACCGTTATCTATGTGTTGGCATTTACTCACTACTAATACAAATGGTCGTTCTTCAGCTATCGTGATAATTATGTCAGGCATGTTAATTAGTTCTTTTTGGATTTTGAAGCCCAGCACAGACAAAATGCTCTCTCGTCTTCCAACCTGAATCATGAAATTGATAGACATTGTCAACTCCACAATTTTACCGTAGGTTTTTATGGTATATATCAACTACTATATTTACACATGTTCTATTGCATACAATAATAATGATCAGGAGGGCTTCGTGTACTTTTGGAAGTGTGAGGGCGGTTGTAACCTCCCGGCTGCCTACACCGTTATTACAATTCTTTTTGCCTCATATCTCTGTTTACTGTGTCTGTTTTGCATTTCTTTCTACATTCTTCTCTTGCTTTATGTGCTATATGGTATGGCGACTTGAACTGCTGCGCATCGGTGCAAAGTTCCTTGTTGAAACCAGTCATACAATAATGAAGAAAGGTATAAATATTCACACTCGGACACTGAACATTATAATTATATTAAAGTTTACAGGTTCCTCCTTAAGTCAGGAGTAATTTTGAAACTCTGCATTATGATGAGAATAACGACGACTGAATGCATCTAGACGTGTTAAAATTTTTCACTTGCTCTATTTAAATAATAAGCATATAGATGTTTCTAACTTTTTTATTGTATGATTAATCAGCTATCTGATTTATACACGTATGGGTAACTTTTCAGACTTGGGTTCATTTCCTTATCCCAACCCTGCACAGTGGACCATTGAAGAAGTATATAATTATATTACAACTCGGGATGCAACTCTTCTAGAGGCGGCTGAAAAGTTCAAGCATCATGTATGTTGCTAGATTCAATTTCTGTGTTTGTTTGTTTTTCAATTTTGATCATAGAGTGGTATCAGTTAGAGAATCATGGGTTGCTGGATTATACAACTGTTTTCTCCTACTTTGAGACTCATCTTCAGTAATTCACACACCGGTATTCCAGCCCTCGACCTTCCAGTTACAATAAAATCTTTGTTTGTTCTAATGTTAACAAATTAATGGCTGTTTCACTGCTTCTCAGTTCTAGCTTTTGAAAAGAATTTCGGTTTGGATTTAAACAGCAACTGATCGTTTCTAATGCCTGAGTTGTTATGTTCCCATTGCACTCGCCTCTAAGAAGCTAAAATAAGAAATGTATGCTGTCATTGCTTGAAATCAAATAAAGTTTCAAAGGTGTACTTACAATACGTTAGTGATAGTTGTTCGTTTCTTTTCAGTTAGTAATTAATCGTCCGTTTGAAATCAACTACTGCACTTTGCATAGACCTTTGTATTATTTCCTTTTTCGCAGTTAAGCCTAGAAGTTTCTCTTTTTATCTTGGTATTCATACTATTATATCTAGTGTGGTGATGGTGATTAGTAAATAATCTTACATCCATACACCTATTAAATACCCGAAACAATAAGTCATGTGGTTTCTAATCTTAAAATACAGAAGCACGTGATAACCTGATTCCATTGGTTGTCCCCATTCAGTTGCGCTTCAGTTAAGTACTACATGTTTGAGTTTACTTTCTGCACAAACCTACACCACTACTACTACTACTGTTAATGAGTAAGTGCCTGTCTGAATTGCAGTTATTTTATTAATATACCATTGCTACTACAATCTTTCTATTTCATGCCTGCTTCTGTGTGGAAGTTGTAGTTAGTGTTGACTGAGGAAATTACTTCGTAATTCAATTACAAAATTGTGCAACTACTTCTTTATGGCATACGTCATAGTTTCTGTGTTATTTAAAGTGTAAAAATCGCAAAACTGAATATACCTACTGTCAGCATTTCAACACAGTGGACCAACTCTTTCACTTGAATAAAGCAAAGACAACAATTTGTGCAGATAAGGTCATCATCTATTTCATCTTCAGTTCTGTGTACAACCTAAAAATGACTAAGCATGTTCAGTAAGGATTTCAACGCTTACCTACGAAGACAATATGAAATCAATTAACAGAAGACCCGAAATAATAAAGTGCTCATAATTTACACTTAATTAAATGATACCCAGAAGTTTAAACCAAAATGTTAGGATACACCGAGAAAGATTTGTGTAGCAACTGGTAGCTATAGAGAATGGCTATGGCACTCAACGGAATTGTATGCTTTACTGAGATTCAGTTGCCTGTCAATTAGACTCTAAGGTGGTTTTCGAATTTAGTGCGGTTAATGGTTTGATGGTAGCATAGAATAAGATATGCATATGACACTTACAACATATATGTTTGCCGTAAATAGACTTTTGTACACAATAAATGCCGGATTTCCTTTGGACGATTGGTTGTTCAAGGTCATTTCGTCGTGTGGTGGTAGTTATTCTTTGTTTGCTAAGAAATGGTCATAATGGAGAAAAAGTTGCACAGCAAAACGGTGTAACACAGGACAGAACCACATTGCGCTGCAAATTTCGAGTGGTTAAATCGAAACCGAATTACGGGGGCACGGTAGGACTTTATTCTGAACACATGCATAGTATTCTCAACCTTTGATAGCAGTTGCTTCAAAAAACTTAGCGAGGATCAGTGTATACTGTCTATTGGTAGTCGTTTTAAGGATGTCCACCTCACGCGATGCCACCAGTAGTACTACAGAAAGTGTTTATTCCCTTAGGATTGTAGTTTCTTCTGTGGGACCTAAAGTATGAAACTAGTCCATGCAATTATGCAAGCAATCTTTGCGAGTACGTTATGAGATTTGCGTACATATAACTGATAAGTCTTGTTTTAGATTGCACACAGCTGAGAAACTGACGAAACAATGGCGCCATTATCGCTCTGCACACATCGCTGTTTATTGTTAGTTCAAGAAGTAGAATACGTGTGCGAATTTTCTTCCATTGCTGGTTTTTTAGCACGTGCACAAACGGTGTAAATCTCCGAATAATCCATTGTTTTGTTTTCTCTTCTAGGAGATCGATGGTCAGGCGTTGCTACTTGTCAGTATGGAGTCACTTCGTAATTACATGAAAATTAAGTTGGGTCCAGCGCTAAAGGTGGTCCACCTTATCAATCGCTTAAAGCGCGGTTTAGTATAACTTTCCGTATTTTCACACGTTTTACGTATTACCTGTTAACATTCAGTAATTTTTATGTCCATTACCTTATTGAGAGATAGATGAAATGTGTTGTAACTCCCTTCAAGAGAAATCATTCTAAATTATAGTAGACTATTTTCGTAACATTTTAAGTGATCAGTCGAGAATGTGATCACTTTTATCCAACCAATATAAAATGTGTACAATATGGCTTTATTCACTTAAGTTGATTGGTCGGTACTGAATAAAAGTAATTGTATTCAGTTGAAGCTTTCATTCTTAATGTTCTGTATTTCCTGCATTACATGATACAAACGTTGGAATCACCAGCGACTAAAGCACTGTTACTAAAAGCATACTAGGTGGTTGAAAAAATCTCGCTATTTGATACCAAAATGCAATAGGCAACTTAACTGAAGATTGTAGATTACTCTTTTACCTCAGTATATTTTGGCGTACGAAGCATTCAGTGAAATCACAAGACAAGGCATCTTTGTGTCTCTGAGATCAACTTTATTAGAGAAAAGTACATTACTCATATTACATAAGACTAGGAGAATTAAGCTAGTTTCAGCAGTTAAATAACTAATTTGATTGTTTGGAGGACAAAGACTAACCAATCAATTATGGCGAAAGTTTGATGGCTAGAAATATTGATTTCAGTTGAAGCCGTTTCCTATCCAGTACAACTTACAGTGACGAATAACAGCATGAGCCAATATGCGCGTTTATTGCCAATTAAGTAAGACTCGTCAGCTGAATGTGCGTGCTCCCCAATGATTGATACTGAGCTCACTATCCATCGCACTTATGTTTATGAGTGGCTTTTCGATTTATGTATATTCTTGTATTTGAACTAGTGTTATTTATCTGCCATATAAAAATGATGGAATTCGCTATATGAATAAATTATCCCTAAATTTTTTTGTGATCACTCCCCTAGTACACACCCAACTGAATTATTAACGCAGAACTCTTCACAGGAGTGCACATGATTTTAAATCATAACACCGAATCAGTTAAGACCCTGCAAAGCGCTGACCAATGGTCAATCACTTCGTACGATGACGGCATATTTTGGTCTAATCACGCTTAACTGATTTTAAAGTCAAGCTTACTTCGCGAACAATAACTTTAAAAGAGGAAAGTGCCTCTTTAAAGTTTCATAATCGTATCGACTGGTTGGTTGTCAATAAAATAAGAAGACAAGTAGTTCAGCAAATTCATCTTGGCATATGTATACAATGTTTTCTCGTAAAACTTGAGTCAAAAAAAGTGGATCACCATAAGAAGAGTCGCTAATATTAATTAATACACATGGAGAAATGAATAAGGGTCACAGAATAACTTATTCAGATAAGTAACAATAATAATAGCTTTATTCTGAACAGTATTTTGGTATAAATAACGAGACAATTTAATGAGTGAGCTGTAATGACGATGCACATTGAAGCAGGAAATCTTAAGAGTTGAGGAGGATAGATAAGTCAGAGAAACAAAATAAGTAAAATAGGTTGGAAACAACAGGGTGTTTACCACGACAACGGAAGTAAGACAAACTACAGTCGTTTCTCTAAAAGTAGAACAGCGCAAGCTTCTGCATAGTATTAATAGATAGTTGGGCATCATGTTCCCGTAAACTGATATCTCGGCCATGAACTGGAGACTGAAGGGCTCGGATTGCTTCCCGTTAACTTCCTGGTATGTGATTGAGTTCTGCGCAGGTGGCGCAAGGAATGACAGTTCCCCCACTCCCGTGATCTGGACTACATCGACGCCTAGATTAGAAATAGGGAGTGAAGTGGTAGAGCACGTTGGTCGCTTCACTTATTTGGGAAGTACCATCAGCCCCAACGGGCTGATCTCTGACGAAATCTCAGCACGAATACAGAGGGCTCGTTTCGCATTTGCCAGTTTACGCCGACTCTGGCGTAGACAAGATGTTCGACTATCGACCAAAGGGCGGGTGTACTGCTCATCAGTCCGCTCCGTCCTCCTTTATGGTTGTGAGACCTGGTCACTGAGAGTGGAAGACGTGAAAAGACTAGCTGTCTTTGATCATAGGTGCCTGCGTTCTATTTCCCGTGTAAAGTGGCATAATAAGGTGAGCAACATTGAGGTTAGGCGTCGAATTCTAGGTAAACAGGGAAATCAATCGACGAAGTCGTGAAGCTACAAAGACTGAGATGGTTAGGACATGTGTTACGTATGCCAAGCCATCGCCTCCCTCGACGAGCAATGTTAGCGGATATAGGGTCAGGCTGGAAAAAAGCCAGCGGCGGTCAAACAAAAACTTGGCACCAGTCAATGAAATCCACAACAGTTGGTCTAAACCACGTAGGAAGGTGTAGACTTCCAGGCTGGGGTCCTCGAGACGGTAAAAATCTATGGTTGGAAACAATTGGTGACATGGCTCAAATTTATCGTTCTCAGTGGCTAGCGCAGATGCATCCACTCCCTGTGACTTATGATCTTCAATGAAACTGTTTTGTATTTCTTTATTACTCCTTTGTCTCACACCTCTGCTCACTGTTTCTATTATGCTTTTGTTGTACTTTCTTCTTCTCTTGCTTCGCGTGCTACACGGAATGTGGCGACTTGAACTTCCGCACATTTGTGCAAAGTTCTATGTCGAAAACAGACAGACAGACCAATCCCGTGAAACACAGATCCACAGGATGGAAGGAACTCAGATCAGTTACTGAGCTAAACATCATTCACCCCTAACAGATTTCTCATGCATCTGGCCACATCAAGGCTGAAGTAGTTGGAGCGCGGTTCTGTTGACAGAGGAACCTTCCCGAATGATTGAAACTTATGAATTCCACGTTTTTTTAATTGTGCCGAAATAACCCGTTTGTTCGTATACGATATTTTTGGAGCAACGCACCGATGAATATGTTCAGCTTATATGAAACATATAAGAATGACATTAGGAGATGGAAATAGGTTCGATCTTAATCGGGATTTCAGCTGAATATAACTTAATCACGACGCATGGAGTCTGCGTATGGTTATTGAAGGTTTGAGATAACGGTGGAATGACAGGACTAATTATGACTTAGTCCTATACAGTCGCGCTTTCTTAAGGCGTATTGATGTGTGGATTGATCTAAGAACGGCGCAACCTAGTGCGATATTATAGGACAACTTAATGTGACCATTATAATGCACATAGACAATAAACGAGTACACACTGTACTTTTTGAGTGAGTCATGTCACGTCATAAGTGTAAGGCTGGCGGGAGAAAGGAAATGCTCGAGAAATACCCGTGAAAAGATAAATTGGGAGGGAATAAGGTAGTAGGGGTTTACAACCGATAACAGCTGAAGAGACCTCACGAAACACAATAACAGTCATACTAGGCAAAATAAAGACCTGCGGAGAAGCGATTTCACCAGAGAAAAGATTATATGAACTGAATAGGAATGAAGTAGTCGGAAGTTTTTTAACGTGATTTGAAACTTAAGATCAAATGCAGCTGCTGAAGGCGCGAGATACCAGTAAGTCGGTTCTCAATTCTGCAAAAATGGAGGAATATGATACTATTTCGAGGGTCGTAGACTAGGTTTTCCTTCTTAAAGGTATAATTATTATTCAGTGTTTGAGTGATAATACCTTCCTACTGTCAGACGGGGTTGTGTAAGACGTAAATCCCAAGAAAATTTATGTCAGCAGTGCGATGGACAGGTTAGAAATAAGATGATATAGAAGAACTAACAACCAGGGAGATGTCAGAATCAAAATCATTTAAGGGAAGAAATTGTACCATCAGAAGTGAAGACACTCAAAAGAGAAGAAACGTCGAAATATGACGAGAAAATCAATGAAACTTACTAAAGTAAACTAATTATGTGTGATGTCAAACTTATTGAACCACTTCAAAATATATATTCTTACCTCTGTCCCAAACGCCGAGTGTCTCTGCGAATGTACTCCTCTATTTATCCCACCACTACCGACCGAAACATCTGCAAAGCTTCAATATAATAGTCGTAATCATTGTTTATTATCCGTGTACAGTCTGTCTGTAGATATCACTGAAGTCGACACTTTGAAATGCTTAGTTCATTTTAAATGTCACTACGGATTTCCCTCAGCATTATCTCGTGCGATTTAGGCAGTTACACGCGTGTACATATTTTTGAAAACTCAAAACTAACGGCAGCCATTCCCTTCACTAAATTTATTATCTTAATGGCATTTCCGTGTTGACCAACAGATCTAAATACGCGCCCTGTGTGGGAAATAGGGTTCAGATGAAATATGACAGGGTTCTTTAGGAAGTCTGATCTGTCTAGGCCTTCTTAAATTTGTTAAAAACCCTAATGGTAGAATAATTTTATTAGAAAAGACAGTATTATTATTTATTTTTTGATGACGTTCTGAATACATTTTATTGCTAACAATATTAAGGCGCTCCCATAGCCTTCAGACTTTGTTTATCTCTAGTCCTCCAATTTTATTGATAGCACTATTTCCCGTAAATCTGTTTCGGTGTTGCGCTATTCTTGCTGCACGCGTTAGGTGTAAACTGCATCCATATACTACTCTAGTGCGATTGTGTGTTAACATATGCATTACAATCGCTTGTTTCCCTTGAAGTTAGTTTTTTAGTCAGTAACTTCAGACTTAAATAAATCATCATGTCCCGATATTGTAGATTATGCCGACATACTGAAGTGATTCATGAAGTTTACCTCAGTCAATGCAGGGTACCTTCTAGAAGGCATTATTTTGTCTAATTGGATTAATGGGGTTTTTGAGTAAGTTTGTAGGTTTGAATCCTACCACAGCTCTTGTTTTCTTAAGAATTTTACGTAGAGTTTCAGATGTCCCTTCTGGGTATGGTGACAGCGCATATGCGTATTCTAAATAAGATAAATCTTCCTGAGATTATCGCTTAGGTTAATATGGTATCTAAGATTCAAAATTCGGCAGTCCTGTAAAGTTTAAGTATGGCTTGAGAAAACCGGGCGAGTATTAAAATCTGGATGAGACTGCACTGATATTCACATCTGGACAAGTTCTGAGAAGCAGACATACTACCGGGCGTTTAACTTTGACTTATATTCCTCAACCTAATAAAGTCATACGATTATGTTAAATGTGGCATTATACCAAACAAGACGAATGCGGCAGTGTATCCAGAAGGTCCATTTACTGAGATTGCAAGGAAGTGTTTTACACCTACCAAGCTATTGCCTGTTTCCACGTGCGACGTCAAGCAAAACACGATTCAGATGAGAAAGAGTTAGGAGTTGTCAAAGGAAAATATTCTACCGAATCATGGTGCCATTATTAATCTGTGAAACACAGATGAGTGTAGATAACCTGATCGGGGCAGTCGGAATGTTAAGAATAAATCTTTGGAGACTTTTAGTGACATAGGTCATTGTCTTAACAATGGTATATCATCATCCGGATTCTGATAATCGTCAGTTACCTTATTCTCTTTTCAATACATCTTTATCTACTGTAGTTTCACCACTTCTCCTTGCTTTACGTTTGTGTGCCTCTACGAAGTGTGACAACTTGAATTGATGCACTTCTGTGCAAAGTTCCAAGTTATTGCCATAATTTAGATTGCCTAAACTGCCAACTATTCAATTGCTTGAGGACTCGAAACAAGAGAACAACGATTCAAATATGACTTAAAAATGTCTGTTGATCATATTATACACAATTACCCACAATAATTAAAGCCGGTGTCTACAAAATAAAAATATTTAGCAAAATGTGACCCACTCACACAACATACAGATAGCTACTTAATTCCGAGACGAAACATGGAGATAGCAAACAAGGTGTTCAATATTTAAATTCTAGGTTTTAACCACAATACAAAATATTTAAGCTTCATGAAGTAGTAATTATTGAGTTTTTGCACGTAGAGCTGCACGTTTGCCAGTTAGTGCTTGGAATCCAGACGTAACTGTCTTCACTGTGAAACGAGAACCGCATCTCCGACAATGTAGAAACAAAAGGCGTGAGTCTTTGCATAAGTCTGTCTCTGAAGACTGGCAAGTACCACAAAGGACGTAGGTTCCTACAAAGTAAAGCAAACACTTCATGACGAAAAACGATGAATAAATCAAAACTAATCTACCGTCACACATTCCACAGAAAAAATTGGTAATTCAACACGATAAAGCATATGATTCGAATAACACCTAATATTAAGCTTATAGAGATATAAATTATTATTTACTGCAAGGTAATTGAAGGTAAAGAAAACTTTGAAATAATTAAAACCAAAAAGCGACCGAAAATATATGAAAAGAGCAGGTAGTGAAAATAAATTTATCCATCACTACGGCTATGACTAAGTTTACATACACAATGAGTCGTCTACCAGCTTCTTTTGTTTATGTGCGTTTAAAAAGAATACCAACACTTCTCAACAAAGTCAATAACATTACAGACACAATATCATTCTGTCTAGTCGTAGATTCCTTCCAATTTAATCTTACTCCAGTTAGCAGTATGCTGCTTCAGATAATGGAGAAAGATGCGCCAATTATATCCCAGAAAATGTGACAGACGGTAGCTTAAAGGATAATGCAACACATTGGGGTGATGCTACATAGGAAACGGTGAAGAAATTCATAAGAATTTCCCTAACCTCTGAAGTGTTATTATGAGTCATTACTAAGAAAGCATAGTACATTGCTAAGCACGCAGTGCATACAATCTTTGATGAGTACAGTCTAACTTCCAGGGAAATAAACTAATAGCTACAATTCAAACTGCATTGTACCCTTATATCCACTTTTAGGATAAATTTACATAAGGCCAGAGAATGCTAACATCCTTGATGGTAACCACTCGATATTAACAATTCCCTGAAATGACTAGAGTACACTTTCATGATTAAGTAAATTAAGAGCATTCGCTAAATGAATACAACTGGTAGGAAGCTATATGTGAATCCCATTCTTACAAACTTCCACCCAACTCAGGCAACTACAAGTTTGTTAAGTATGTAGGACCCATGTAAATAAATAAAATAAGTAAATATACTAATGGACAAACTAGCTGATGACTTCGTCCAAAATAAAATTTTCTTTCGCTGAAACCGTTTTTTAATATTTCAACGTAAATACTACCCGATAACTGATGGCTGGAGATGATATCAAATGCACTTCAAAATGAAACCCAGTTTTAGTCGCCTTTGTTAATGGACCATTGAATGACCTACTTCCCCGCTACGAACACTAACTCTCAACACTTATCGGAATGTAACTACAAGTGACTACCACTAAATAAACTACCTGTGTTGTTTTCACGGCAAACCATTATTTGTAGTTAGTGTGGAGACCACTTCTCACTAATTGGCTTCCGCATACTAAGGACACCTGGAGGAATCAAAAAATGTTCACATCAAAGGTTAATCATCGTCTATGACAGAGTAAATTTCATAAATAATTTCAACATATAGAGTGAAAATTGTTGAGGAAAATCACAGTATTCCATAGGTATTGTCTATGTGGTTTCGTGGAAACAAGTCATGTGAGTTGAAGTGTGAATTTATCACTTTTATGAAAAGGCTAACAACTGTGGGGAAATTAAATATAAGAACTTACTACAGTAATTCCTAAGCACTGGTTCCATGTGCTTACTGGTATAACGCCCGCGAATAAGCAAAGCGCCATTTGCATCTACAGAACCTTGTGTACCCAACTCAGTAAGTATATAAGTGGTGAGATGGGACTGATCTCTGTTCAAAGAACGGCAAATTGTAGAAAAGTTAACAAAGAGCGTCTTCTTCGTTCCAACACGAGCCATTTGAGGAGGGACCATTACAAGCTTTCTTTTTTGATCTGATACCAGCTCGGGATTTAAATCACCAAGTTGGGCAAAAACCCTTGTTAGCAACTAAAAAAATTTAAAAACCAAAACTTGTGAGAAACCATAGACAAAAAGTCATAACATCGGAATTCGGATGGCTTTATGAATGGACCATTTTGTGAGGATGAACAGAAATCTATATTTTTCTATAGTGGATAAAAGTTGTACATGATGGCCTTATACTTTGATTAACATGAGTATTATATATATATATATATATATATATGTACCCGTGCCGAAGAATTAAACCAGCGCTTAATGAAGCTTAAAAATGTGAAGGCGACCACATGGACCACAAGTCACGCTAATCAGAACAACGGCATCTTAGACCATGAACATATCTGGTATTGCTGAGAGACATAGAAAACACATGCGCTACTCATCTCATCGATCCAATGTATCACAAAGTTCTAAAAGGACAAAACTATACCCTAGAGCGGAATTTCATAGCTTCATTGCATTTCAGACGACATGGTTGTTTCAAATAAATTGTCAGTGACGAAGCTAAAACACACAAAAGAATTGCATAGTGACACTGACAAACAAATTAAGCAGAGAAGTTATACCAACTGTACCAAAATATAGTACTGGATGTCTTAGGTATCTATTGTTAACGAGCAGATATGTGGTTGATCCTTCCAATTTGGTTCAGCCAACAGCATCTTTAATTAAAGATCACTGATAGCAAAATGATTAAATAAAGGGTGGGATAGGTGAAAGAATTCTGGTCACTAAGCAACATTCCTTGCGGAATTAAACCATCTACTGGTGCATGGACATGTGTATATAAGAAGCAATTAACTATGAATTCTTTACGTATTCAGCTTGCAGATTAGGGTGATACATATATATTCCACTGAATGAACATCCACCTCAGTAATGACAGTTATGCCGCAATTAAGACAGGCACAACGTCTCGACTGTGGAAGAAACAACAGTAAAAGTTGTGATCAACAAAAACAAGAGAACATAAGGGTAACCTAGTATTTGTCAAGTATTTTGGATTACTGAGGAGATGAAGACAGAACTATGGTACATAAAAATACCTTCATGAGAAGTTCCCAAAACACACCACCTAAACTGAAGACTTTGATAAGTAATTAGATACGGTTTACACATACACTTCATTTACTTTGTGGAGGACGTGTCAGACAAAGGGATACAAGCCTGACGAATGTTACGTCTAAAATTTTATGGTTTATATTTATTCATAAGCTAGATAGGATCTGCAAACAAACCAGACTACACAACTTCGTGACTTAACTTTTTTTTCTAAGTCGTGTAGTTACTATTGATAAGACTGTAAGCAATAAAATGTGTTCGAAACGTGACTAAGGCTGTTTCACTGTGATAAACCAAATAAACAAAGATGAAATTCCAGTTAATTTTATTTCATGCTGTCGAGCTACGTTTTCGAAGGACTTTACAAGAGATGTAGCAGTTTAACTTGTCGCACTTCAGGGAGCACACTAAAGTACACAATGAATAAGCAAAGAAACTACAATAAACGGAAAATAGGATAATGGCGTGTAGAATAATGAGAATTGGATAAATCTGCGAGGTTATAAATGGTGAAAGGATTCAAGTCACAGTAGACGATCTAGATCAACACTAGCTGCCTAGAGCCTTAGGTTCTTAGAACTGCGTATCCCCCAGGCGGAGTGTACTTTTATTTATTTTATTTTTGATTACAGCTTGATTCCACACCGTATTTTTGGTACAAGTATGGAATTTTCAGCATGGATATCGGTAACCCAAATTTCGCAGACCGACCATAGATATCAGGTGTGCGTCAGCAGAGAGTCGAACCTCAGACCATGTGCATGGTCGGCGAGAGTCCTAACCAATGTGCCACCGACGCGCACTGTGTACACCTCCCTAATTGGCTCAGACCTGCATACAAAACTGACTACACCTAGAATTATATTAAAAGCGCACTCTAAGCGGACGAGCATCTTCCTCTGTAGTGTCAGTCAAAAAGCGTGCCGGGGCCAACTTTATTAATACATACTGAAATTGAATAAAAACAGTAAAACTGGGCACATCTAACAGACACATAGTTATCTTTACTTCAGGCATTAACTGTCCATATACTTTCGGGACAAATCTAGGTATCCGATTTTTAGCACTTCTTTCTGCTCACTTTGATTCTTCCCTTTTTATTTACTTTCTCGTTCTATTTATCCGACCTGAGAGGATAATTGGCTGCCATCACACAGCCCATGTTTTTGCATGAAAACAAACCAATCACCGACGATTTCGTCAAAACTATGATGAATGGTTGGAAAACCAATAAAATAGTCACGAGTGCGGAAAAAATCCCCTTTCTTACATGACCTACTTAGATAACACCTGTAGTATATAGTATCTTAAAACAGGATCTACCGCAATGGGTGAACAATTAGGCAACACGACTGCCTTTAATGCAATTGTGACAATGAATTCCAAAGTTAACCGCATTGAAGAGTGAAATCCACTCTAAAACTGGTCAAATGTTTTTGATGAACAGCGAAAACAATGACTTACCATCTCATAATCATAACCAGATAAGTCTCGGACAACCACTTCCGAGGCGGTATTAGATTCAACCATGCCACTTTCATCCACATCGACTGGCTTGAGCTTTTTACGCTTTTTCTTGTCTGAGAAATGAAGTTCATCTGCAATCTTATCCGCGAGTTCTTTAACTACTTTGTCATTGACTGAACTTTTAACCTGGTCTTTTACGTCCTATAGAGCTCAATAATCAATTCTGCTGAAAATTATTATTTACATCATCCTTTATCACAGCCCCTTCCAAACTCAAGGGTTTGTCCTTCTTTTTCTTCTTTGAACCAAAGTCAATAACCTCATGATCTTCCATTTCGTCAGCCCCTTCTTTTTGATCGCTAGAGGTAACTTTTGTCTTCTTCTTTTTCCTACTTTCAAAATCTAAAATGTTATCCTGTTGAGAGGAAACTAGTTAAACAGAAATATCGTCTAGACTCACGGTCATGACAATCACGTCCGTCAAGGTCGTTCAGCGAGATCTCGTCAATGTCCAACATAAAAAGGTTTCAAAAAAACTCAATATTCGCAAATTTGTTAGCGATTTTCCTAACTAATTTGTAGTTTACACAGTTCGAGGTAGTCATTTCATTCTAATTTCCTTGGGAAACGGAGATTATTCAGACCACAAAATGTTATGTGAGAGGTACCAAAAATCGATACCTTTTTGATGTGTATGTGTTCCCTGGGCTGGATAGTTAATTTGCGAATTAACTGTCTCGTTAGCCAGAAGGACTTGTAGAGTAAGTAATTTATATCAGACAGCGATGGTTTTCTATCACCAGTGTGATTTTGTAAGTTGGAAGTCGTGAATGAGTGAAATAGTTGTCCACCGAAAGCCAGGATATAACCAGTTTGAAAATAAAACGTAACTAAAGTAACAAAATGTTCCTTCAGTAGCACAACTCACAACAGGTTCGGAATTTCGCAGTAGGTGGAAATAAATTTCGGTCAAAGAGAGAGAAGCCTGATAGCATACGCTGCCTATATTATGATATGTGTCTGTATGTACTTGAAGGAATGGCATACCAGCTTCTAGGGGGTTCACCATCTAATGAATAAACCAGCACTCTTGTTACCTGAACCTCCTTACACTGTGTGGATTATAGTGAGGAGAACAAATACCGAGATTCAGTCACTCTTGATGCCATAATACAGTTGTATCAGGCACTAAGCGGGTGACCGTTCTTCGAGGCATTTCCCCTTCATAAATCATACTTGTCAGAACCTCCTCGTTCGTGTTTAGATGATGTCGTATTTATGAAGAGTCTCAAAGTCACAGGTTGCGTATGGGAGACGGCGCGCTTAAGATTTTGCGTCCTGTTATGAGATTTAAATCGTATGTTCGAAGCAGACAGGTGAGAATTAGGCGGCTTTCTGTCAAAATTCATTCTGTCAGCCAGCTAGAACCCCTAAACTGTCTACGAACAAATAAAGTATAATTATATTTATATACTTTTGTATACGCTTTATTTGATCTATTCCATAATGCTCAAACTTTTTACTGACAATAGTGTGTCCATGGATTTTCGTCACTGATGGTGTCAACCATGGCCAACCTAATAAAACGCGCTCTACACCCTGTATAAAAATTGCTAATTTTTAAGGACCATTTGGCAGCTCTCTGGATCATACCACTGAGAATTCTGATATGACTGCCGGGAAGACTAATGGGTTTACGTTAAGATGGGTTTTGTCTGGTTTATGTCTTTGGGATGTCTTGGCTATTCCGTTTCCCCGACCAAGTTGCAGTATTCTTCCTTTAGATTACACTCGAGAATTGGCTGAGTGGATTACCAGTTCTTCGTGAACCTTTGGACCTAGTACGATTAAACGATTTAAATCCCTAAGAATTAAAATACAAGACTTCTTCCGATATGAATAGAAGGTGTTTTTGGATAATGTCCAGCATCCAGAATCAACACAGTTTCGGAGGATCAAAGAGGCTCGAGGAATCAGTTGAAGCTCAATGAATTCATCTCCTACGATCAGTTTGTTTATATGTGCGGATGGAAACTGTCAAGGGAAAAGAGTTCGGCGGCTTCGTTGTTGTACAAGCATCCACGTGAACACTATTCAAATCATCGTCAACGAATACACGTTTAGGAAGCCACAGTTTAAGTTTGGAACCCAGAGAGTGAGGGGCGAAGTTAGAGAGGACACTCTGATGTCAGATGTTGACGTTGAGAAACACCGCACTCACTACAAAAAAGACCTGGATATTTTAAAATTAATATCACTTTATTATAAATGATCGAGCGACTTGGTGCGTCGATCGCTAAAGACACTTCTACAGGCCTGAGACTTTCTCCAGCAATCGTTTTTACTCCATGATGGCGACAATAGGGCTGGCCAGGAAAGATGAGTAGCAGAGTACTATGATAGAAAAGCTGCAGCCCAGAGAATATGAAGAATCAAATTAAAATGAGTCAGACACTACAAATAGATCACATAAGACACCATGCACAATGCCGTTGGTTGGAACCTGAATGACAGGAGATGAATGGATGTCATACAGAGAGGACCACGTGAATAGGAAGGGAAACCATACGTGCGTCGATGTGACCACCTGCTATGGCTCACACAGAGCAGCTTCTTCATACTTTGTTTGGCTTCATTTATGTTGTTGATAATGTCTTCGTTATATTCGCGTATTAAACCTCATTATGTGTAATGAAATTTCCAAAGTGCAACTCGCTGCCGTACTTTTCAGAATTGAAAAGTGCACAGTCTACTCTGATGAGCTGCGTTTGTGGGTAATGCGTTTCCTGGCTTTTGTTTTGTATCCCCGCCATCCACTTCTATAGGTTCCGGAATAATTTACCTTACAGTTTTCAGTACTACAAAACCCACGATATCATAATTTTTCTCGCAACTTTGCATTGCTTTTTGTTCTCGTTATCTATTTGCCTTTTAAGGACGTCTGCCCTGCTTAAATAACTTTACGCGTAAATTCAGTCTGTACATATTTTTGGGTCTGATAGACATGGCAGAAACGTCATATTTAGATGTAATCCTATGAAAATTTTTAAAATTATCTTAAATTCAGCAGCCCCAAAAATTAATTGTGTTTTATTTACTTAAAGCTTCAGTCACGAATCATCCATGATATTTAAAGCGAAATTACATCTCCCTGCATTTCATAATAATCTTACAACTACAAACTCCTAAAAGCCCAACAAAAACAACATCCACTGCACCGCAAATTTCATCAGCTTCTGTCACTCAGTCGTCACCGGTGTTGTCATTTACGATGTAAGGGTCATCCAGGAAGTCATATGAGTTGTCCTGTGACTATGCCATTAGCACTCACTTGAAATGAGGAGACACATTGCTCAGTTTAGTGAGGATAGGTCAGGTGTAAACGAGAGAGTAATTGTTAAATTGACTTGCATGAATAAAGGCATTTCTAGTTTCAAGTTACTATTTGAATGCTATTATCTCTGGTGTAAATTACTCTGTTTCTACACTTGGTTGATCAGATACGTCGTGTGTTTGTTCGTCATCTATATTCTACGATACAATGACATGAGCGTGTTACCGTTCAGATTTGAGGATATAGATGATACAAGGAAGTCAGAAAATGAACTCTGCGATGATTTTCCAACCTAGGGCGTCAACCTGAGAGTGGCGTACTGCTGTAAGTCCTACAATTCTTTAAAGGGTAGTGCATCAATAAGCAGCCTAAAGTGCTTGGTGTGTGATTTTGTACATATGTTCATGTTGTATATACTGAATTGGTATCATCTTTCATCTATCTGTTGACAATTTTGTTCGTGTCCGGACGTCTTCCACTCGTATCACCAAACTGAGAAGGAATATAGGCGTACTACTGTAAGTTCTACAGTCATAATAATAGTAATAATATATATTCTCATTTTGGTACACGAGGGACGCCAGCTTACAGGTATCACCAATTCCATAAATAACACAAGATTCATAAGCAAATTTAATAAAGATAATACAATCAGGTACATATTTTTACAAGGTATTATTACATAAATAGAATGTATAAAATTGTAACGGATAAAAACATATGGTTACATTGATAAAAAACGGTAAAGAAAGGCAGACGAAATTCGCAGTATAAAATGATATCATTCTAATTCACAGGTTCTCATCAGCTGCAGACTACCTGAAATTAAAATGGTTATATAGATGATAATAACATACTTTAATGTTTGAGTGGTTGTAGAGAAGAGATACTATAAAATTGACGCATCTAAATGAAAGCATTACAATGTTTTTAGTTTAAGTTTTCATCATCAATTTATACTCTTTTAAAGTTGAAAAGAGGGGGAGGGGTAAGACAGAAAACAGAAAAAATTGATTAACAGAACAGTGTTAGCTTGTAGGTTCAAATAGCAACTCAAGAAACAAAAGCGGTTACAGTTTATGAGATTAGGATTTGTTCAGTGAGTTGAGATCACTGAATTAGATGACTAATCAAAATCAAAATCCCGTTACCAATGGAGTGAGAGGCTAATCACACTCTCTTTCTGTGTGCATAAGTCTGGTTTAAGTCGTTTGATTGCGATTACTTCGGCAAATCGTAGTAAATTTGCTGTCCTTTGTCTATTTAATATTTTGAAGGACTTAGAAATCTCTGCGAGATGTCCAGTATCAATAATGTGTCTGGTAATTGCACTCTGGGAATATCTGCTTCCTTCAAGGCACTGGTTTTTGGGAATATGTTCGGAAAACCGGATAGAAGCCCTTCTTTCTGTCCTCCCAATGTACTCGCTCCCGCAAGTGCACGTGAATTCACAAACGCAGTTGGAGGTGACATCAGCAGAGTATTTATCCAGTTTTGAGTGGATTAAAGAAGGAGTGGTGCTGTATACTGTTATGAGTTTCGCTGTCGGGAAGCTTCTATTTATTGCACCTTTCAATCTCTTGTCAATCTTTTGTGACACTGCATCTCCTTTGTATGGTAGACAAATAAACACTTTTTTCTTTTCTACAGTTGGATGCTTTTTTCTCGTCTTTTTCTCTGCTGTACTTCTGTATAAATCCCTTAGGGTATCCATTTTCCCTCAGGCATTTCTCGACGAAAACTAATTCTTCTTCGACCCTGTTTGGTGAACATAGCTTCCTGGCTCTGTCATACAAAGTCCTCACTAATCCACGTTTATAGCTTATGGGACAAAAGCTGTTATAGTGAAGATATTGTCCAGTACAGGTTTCTTTTCTATTGATGGAATTTTCGACCGTGCCTTCGTTTGTTCTTCTTACATTTAGATCCAGGAAATCGAACTCATTATTATGTTCATATTCCATGGTGAATTTGATATTTGGATGCACATCATTTAGGCGATCACATAGTGCCGATGCGTGATCCATATCGTTCTATAGAGCCCATTCGGATTAAATTTGCAACCCACAGCCTGAAGGATAGTTATCAATTTTCCAAGGAAGTTTGTTTGTTTGCGAGAACGCAAATTTCCTTCTGCTCTTAATAAGG